ACTGTGTCTTTTAGCTTAGTTTTAATTAACGATAGTATCTCTGATGGGCTGTATATGCTAAGAAATGAGTTTAATTTGCATTTTTAGCAATTAAAAGTTTTCCCCCAAAGAAAGTATGCACTGTGTAAAAAAGTCTTTCATAAAGTCATTCCACATTTAGGAAAAAAGATTTCTTTACACACTAAAGATTTTAACATAAAATACATTACGTAACACACACAATGTAACAGATTCATTACTTTTAAACAATGTGTCTGTAGAATTATCTTTAGAACAACTAGAGTAGGTGCCGGCTCAGGGCTTTTTCACACATATTCTAAGTGATAAGACATTTTTTCATTTCTGAAAATGCTAAAATGAATCTCATTTGTGAATAAAACGCATGTTTATTCATTCATTGTTTCCCGAGCGTTTAATTTAAAGACATACTTGGACAATACTGCCAGTTTTCCCCAAGACTCAATTATGGGCCCATTACTATTTCTTTAAATATACTGTGTTTTCAAAAATGTGTGTGTTTTATTCTCAGGTGGCGCAGGTGCGTACCCATATGGAAAAGAAATAGTAAAAACTTACATGATTTACTCATGAAAGTGGCCACTTTCTCATTACTTTCATATATTGTTTTAGTAAGTATCCAAAACATACAAGTTTCATTATATAATTTTTCAAGGGATCTTATATCTGTTTTCACTCTTGTATGCTTTTCATACAAGTTTCACACAAGACAGATACAAACTTTATAAGATTTATATATATCTTTTCCATATGGGTAGATCATGTTTAAGCTATATTAAAATCTATAACCTTCTGAATTTTTAAAAACTTTGACTTGTAGAAACTAAGCACATCTACAAATGAGTCTTACTCACAAAAAAGCCAACTGATGTTATTTCAGTTTACTTTAATTAATAAAATATTAAGTGAATCGTCAGATTAGCATTTTGTGATTTTGTAGCGCATGACATAAAACAAATAATGAATCACATAAATATTGATTATTAATGGCGTTCCAATGTGGAAAGAGTGATTCATTGACAAAGGTTGTGATTAGAAATCGTACCAAACCTAATCTCTTTCAAAACACTGAAGAAATACAAGATAATTTGAAGTCATCGTGGCAACAACCGAACATTTGGAAGCTAAAATTTACCAGAGCAGAAGGAAGGTTTTGATTGGTTGAATTTGGAATATAATTTTATACCAAATAAGGACTTAAATCTATCCTTTAATTTTCATCTTCGTTTCCATTTGTGACATTCTGCAGGTGTTGTTCACCAGAGAAGCTAGTAGGAGAGAATAATGATGGAATTATCCTGAGCAGAGAAAAACCACCATCGCTGGAGAGATAAGAGATAAGATCACCACGTGCAGGACGTTTTCAACAGAGAGATCACAGCTGTGCCCTTGTTGATTAGTTAATAGATGATTTTTTGGAAGAACGTTCCAGAAAACCCAGCAGACAGAGACAAATCAAAAAGAAAAACTGATCACGTGTTGAAGAAACATTAACGAACGGGCGCTCTCACCTCTTTGACTTTCTGGTAGTTCTCGTTACCCTCCTTCAGTTTCTCCTTCTTGGGTGTTGCCTCTTGTGATGCCCCCTGCAGGATGCAGAGGGTCAGACAGCATATGCAGTTCTCTCCGGGTATGGCACCACACTCATTGTGTCCTCGCTGAGGACTTTACACTACATTTCTGATCCTAGTCAATATTCAGATTCACTTGTTAACCTCAACATTTACCAGCTCACGAGCAAACTAGCTTGGTTAGTGTTAGGTTTTGTTTTAGCCACATGCTAAAAAGGCAAACTTCGAGAAACTAGAAGATATTATATTCCAAATAAAGTCTCATATTGCTGCCGTTTCCCTTATAATCGTTTTGATTTGGGTGCTCCATATAGCCACAAATCGCATTAAAAGAAAGGCGTGGATGTTAACCTAACCCCAATCCTAATCCTAGATGGGTTAGCAGAGGTTAAGGAGCAAATATATCACTAAACAGACATGGGTAGCAGGGTAGAATAAGTGTGTGGGCAGATGTAATGTCTGCAAACACACCAGCACATCTAGTTTCTCTAGAAAGTGTACTGGAGGCTTGCACCAGTATCGGATGCCAAAAACAAACAGTTTGCGTACTGCAAACTGGTTATTGTTTATTCCAATATTTCTTAAAACGTTGCCATCTCTTCTGGAAGGTTACTGGTTTTTAAACTATTTTTAAACTCCAACAGCACCCAGATTGGCAGGTTTAGAAGTTCCCTCGCTGGTGGAACCACATTTTTCTCTATGAGAAGTTGTGAAACATACGGAGTGAAGTCAGAAAGAGGATGAAGCTCTTTCTTTGCATTAAATTTTTTATTACAAAAACAACTCCTCATGTTAATGCGATTGGTTGTTTTCATTATCAAGCTAACATTTTAACAAAGCACGACTAGCTGGTTGAGTTTTTTTAACATGCAGTGTGAGTGTATAAGATGTATGACAACAAGAAACTAGTTCTAGAAAAACATTTGAGAAATAATGTTTCTGCATTTCAAAGTATAAACAACAAGAAAGAAAGAATGAAAGAAGGAGAGATGCCATGCAGTGAAAGTGCCATGCCACATATAAACCTTATATCCACATGATACACCAGGAAGCCCAACACCAACAGGAAGTGAGTTTAAAAACCAAGATGCAAAAGTTCAAAAGATATTTTTATTTGTTTTTGTTTAGTACTTTAGTTTTATTAGTAGTATTTAGATTTTTAATAATATGTTGTTTTAAA